TAAAGTCCATTTTTCTGCTATTAATATAGTAGACAAAAAGAGAGGCTATTGCTGCTCTCCTTTGGTTACCATTTGCATTGAATATACTTTTCCAACCTTTCACGTTTAACTTACTTGTGTTTTGGGATTTAAAATGGATCTCCTAGCTGAACTTGATGATGCAGCCTGTAATCCCGTGCCTTGGGAGGCCGAGGTGAATGAATTGCCTCAACCCGTGGGTTTGAGACCCACCCGGGCAACTTGGAGAGACCTCATCTCTACAATAAATCAAAAAATTAGTCGGGCATGGTAGCGCGCGCCTGTAGTTCCAGCTACTTGGAAGTCTGAGGCGGAAGGATCGCTGGAGCCCAGTAGGTTGAGGCTGCGGTGGCCGGGAGCATGCCACTGCACTCCAGTCTGGGTGACTGAGTGAGACTCCAACTCAAAAATTTAAAAAATTTTAAAAATAAATAAATAAAATGGATCTCCTGTAGGCAACATACAGCTGAATTATAATTTTCATCCTTTCTGCCAATCTCTGCCTTTTGACTGCAGAGTTTAATCCATTTACATTTAAAGTAATTATTGATAAATGGGACCTCTGTCATTTTGCTATTTGTCTCCACTCCTGCCTTAGAGCTTTTTTGTCCCTCATTTCTTGCATTACTATCTTTTTTTGTTTAGTTGATTTTTTTGTAGTGAAACATTTAGGCTCCTTTCTTATTTCCTTTTGTGTATATTCCTTAGCTTATTTTTTGTGTGGCTACTTCGGGGATTACATTTAACATCCTAAAGTTATAACACTCTAATATATGAATTTATACCGCCTCAATAACATACAAAAGCTCTGTTCCATTAACAGCTCCATCGCCACCCTTTTAGTTATTGATATCCCAAAATTACAGTTTTACACGTGTGTCCAAGCATATAAGCTAAAGGTTATTTTAATGCATTAGTCTCTTACATCACGAAGAAAACAAAATGTAAAGTTACAAAACAAAGCTAAAATAATAGATGCTTTTAGGCTAGGATTTTTATACATATTAAACTCTTAAATCATGCAGAAAACAAAAGTGGAGTTACACACCATTGTTACAATAATATTAGCTTTTATAATTGCCCATGTGTTTACCTTTACTGAGATCTTTATTTCTTTATAGGCTTTGGATATTTAGTGTCTTTTCATTTCAACCAGCAGTACTACTTTAGCATTTCTTTCAGAGCAAGTCTAATAATGAACTCCCTCAGCTTTTGTTTATCTGGGAATATCTCACTTTCTTCCTCACTTCTGGAAGACAGTTTTCAAGCTACAAGATTCTTGGTTGACAGTCTTTTTCCTTTAGCACTTTGACTATACTGGCCTACTTGCCTTCTAACCCCTAAAATTTCTGGTGAGAAATCAGCTGATTATTGAAGATCCCTTTTATGTGATGTGTTGCTTCTCTCTTACTGATTTCAAAATTCTCTTTGTTTTTGGCTTTCTACCAATGATAATAATACGTCTTGGTGTGATTCTCTGAGTTTATTGCTTAGAGTTCACTGAGCTTCTTGGATTTACATTCATGCCTTTCATCAAATTTGAGAAATTTTTGGTCATTATTTCTTCAAATATTCTTTGCTGCAATGCATATGCTGGGTTGCTTGATGGTGTTACACATGTCCCTTTGACTCTTTCACTTTTCTTCGATTTTTGTTCTGTATGTTTCTCAAACTCAATCATTTTCATTGCCTTATCTTCAAGTTCACTGATTCATTTTTCTGCCTGCTCAAATCTGTCTCTCAATTTCTCTACGATCCATGACTTGCGAGGGCTCAACTTACAATTTTTTGGCTTTATGATGGGTTTATCTAGATGTAAGCCCACTATAAGCCTAGAAGCTTCTGTCTTACAAGACTTACAGTTTCTACTGAATGCATACCGCTTTCAAATCATCATAAAGTCAGAAAATTCTAACTCGAACCATTATAAGTTAAGGACTGCCTGTCATGCTGCCAGCATTAAATGCACTTCTGACTTCCAGTATTTTCAACCTGCCATGGGTTTATCAGGATATAACCACATTATAAGTTAAGGAGCACCTGTTGTAAATTTCTTATTGCAGTTTGCAGTACTTTTCAATTTTAGAAATTCTTTCTGGCTTCTTTTTAGGTTTTGTATCTCTTTATTGTTATTTCCATTTTGTACACAGTTTGTTTTCCTCTATATCTTCCTTTGTTGTTTGAGTATCTTCAAGACAGTTGTTTTAAAGTCTCTGTCTTGTAGATCTGCTATCAGGTCTTTTTTCAGGGACAGTTTCTGGTTTTATTTTTGTTGTTGCTGTTGTTCTCTTTGAATGGGCTATACTTTCCTGTTTCTTTGTATGCCTTGTGATTTTTTGTTGGTGTTGTTGAAAACCAGAAATTTGTATCTAATAATACAGTAATTCTGGAAATAAGATTCTCCTCTTGCTCTAGGGTTTTCTGTTTTTGTTTTTTGATTGTTGTAGGGTGTCTCTGTACCAAGAATCACTCTGAGGTATAAACATAAGGTTTTCTCGGTATTTTCTGAGTCTGCACCTTCCGCTGGGCATGCGTACATTTGTTATTGATTTCTCATTTCATCTCATCTGTGACCAGAAAAGATACTTTGCATAAGATCTGTTGAGACTTACTTGTGGCCTAACATACTAAAAAAATGTCCCATATGCAATTCTGTTGCTGGGTAGTGTTTCTATGGTTGGGTAGAGTGCTCTGTACCCTTGTAAGTTCCCTTGTAAATGCAGATGCTATTGAATGTCCTAGTGTTCAATGTCTGGTTCCCAAAAAAGAAAAAAGAGAAAAATGAAAGGTGAGAGAAAAGTACTGGCCCTTTAAAATCCCTGGAAGTCATTTCAGCCAAAAGAAGAGGTTTGAAGCAAGTAGGAAGGTGCAACAATGCTACCGCCTTTTTGTCTGCATCTCTGCAATCAGAAGGAGCAATCAGTCATCAGAACACAGATCCCTGATATTTAGAGGAAAAAGTCCTTTTTGCCCACACTGGCTCTCTCAAGACGTGTCCTAACTGCACCAGGAACATGTGCAGGGCTACCTGTCATGGAGCCGGGGCTGGAGTTGAGTAGCTGCTACTAAGCTAAGACCTGAAATTGACCAAAATTAACCATACTTTACAGTCTAAGTCTTCTGGAAATTGCTAGCCTCCAACAGACTCCAGAGCTCCTAAAGAGCTACATCAGACAGATTGTGCCAATGCAATTGTTGTCTAGGTAGGAACAGATTCCTGTTGCTTTCTACTGTTCCATCTTTCTGAAGCCTCTCTCTATTTACAAAGTATTTTACATACCAGAAGTGTATTTGTAAGAATAAATATTTGTTATCACAATATGCTATAAAAATAATGTTTCTAGTAAATTAGTAGAAGATGACAAAGATTCATTCTAGGAAGTCACTGAATTTGCTTCAGGTATGGAATTAACCAATTAAGTTAAATAAATAGTCTTTTAGAGATGATCTTAGGCATGGAAATGGTGAACTATGGGATTCTGAACCCAATGTGTAAAGCAGGTTTAAAATACAAATGTCATCCTTCTATTAACAAACAAATCAAAAAACCTTAACAACTCCATATCCTCAACAGAAGAAAAAGTCATATAAACCATTAAGAATGTTATACAATGCATTTCACAATGTAGTCCTAACCTAACCTACCTCAGTCTCCTTTTATCACAAACTCTTTCAATCTTGCCTCACTACATTTTTCACCCGTTCCTGGAGCAAGAATCCTACTCTAATGTGCTGCCGTGCTTATTTAACCTATACTTCCTTAGCCAGGAGTGTCCCTTCTGCCTCACTTTCATTGTCAGCTGAACTTCTTGTTCATTTTTCAACTTCTAGCTCGATTGTTTCCTTCTCTGAGAAATTTTTCCCAATGTTTCTAGGCATAACGTTTTTAACTCAACTTTGTTACATATTTTGTCAGCAGTTAACAGAGTACCCTGCACATAATACATGGTCAATAAGTGTGATAGCTTGAACAAGAAACACTGGCATCTAAAACCTATGAAATAATAAGATACCCAAATTAAACCCATTCAGATACATTTTTGAAAACAAGATTTAGCTACTGGGAATATTTCTTAATAAATCTTTCAATTGGTAATTTTAAGATACAACCTGTTACAATTTAAAAGCATCTGAAGTGCCACTTAAACTGGATTTAAACTATCATTCCTTTTTTAAACTAAGTCTCAGGATATCCTTCATTTTTGTACATGTATAGTCTATTGTCATCTTTACTCCCACAAAATCAGTGACCATATTTCTTTTTTATCCACTGCAAGACTGGAGCTTCAACTCATTTAAACCTAATTAAATGAAACTTTTAATTAATTTTATTTGCCCTCCCATGCTATCTTTTTAGAAAGTAGAAAAGAAAAAAAATCTGATAATTTTTCAAACTTCTAGAGCAAATAATAAGTATAATCTCTTATATTTTCAGAATTTGTAATACCATAAAAGAGGATTTCCTACTGTGCTTTGAAAAACAATAGCTGCAATAAATTATTTTTTAATGAAGCAAGGGCAAATAAAATCTGTCATAATATTTTGCATTCCACTGTAGTTCATGTATTTCAAAATTAATGAAAACCTAAGCACATTTTCTATTAAGAACTTTAAACCTTTATATCACAGTAAGAAGAGTATAAAATTAAAGTCATATGTTTCATTTTTTCAATACAACAAATTTAGGTAAGCCTAGACATATAAAAAGACCTTTTTAAATACCCAGTCATGAAAAAAGTAAATTATGCTTTCATCCTCAGAGTAAAACCACATACTAAATGCCAGTTCTTTAGATAGGCAAACCATTATCACTAAACCCATCATGAAGGAGCACATGGAGTCCTTAATTCACAGATTACAGATTACTTTTAGACTCACTGAAGTCTTGCCAAATGTTCATTCTTGTATGAGCAAATGAGTCAGCTACTCTTCCAGTGTCTATGCCAGCACGATCTGTTAGAAAGTAATTAAAGAGCAGATACCTTTATCAGAGTATGTGTGTTCTAATGCATGGAGATCAGGCAAAAGGTGAATACAGTTTATGCAGCAATAGGTGAAGAAATCAAAGACGACCACTTTTCCACACAGATCCTTATAGACAGAAATAGGCTCTTCTGTGTTCAGCCAGTCTAGTCCTGAAATTTATAAAAAATAAATTACAATGATTAAAGGAAAAGACAAAGAGAAAATATATCTAAAACTTTCCATTAAAACAGGAATCTCAGGTTGGGCATGGTGGCTCACGCCAGTAATCCCAGCACTTTGGTAGGCTGAGGTGGGAGGGCTGCTTGAGCCCAAGAGTTCAAGACCAGCCTAGGCAACATAGGGAGACCTCGTCTCCCCAGCAAATCAAAAAATTAGTTGGGCATGGTGCTATGCCTATAGTCCCAGGAACTCAGGAAGCTGAGGCAAAAGGATCACCTGAGCCCAGGAGGTCAAGGCTGCATTTATGGTGCCATTCCACTCCAGCCTGGGCAACAGAGGCAAGACCCTGTCTCAAAACAAAACAAAACAAAAGAAAATACTGGTTTGATCTGCAGATTTTTTTTCTAGAATTTTTGTTATTATTGAGTAACTCTAGTTACTTTATAGTCATTTACTGTTACTTTTTATTTGTTCCACCCAATTTTGGTGGCACGATCATAACTCACTGCAACCTCGACATCTTGGGCTTAAGCGATTCTCCCGCCTCAGCCTCCCTAGTTAGCTATAGGCACGTGCCACCAAGCTAAGTTTACTTTTTAATTTTTGAGTAGAGACAGGGTCTTGCTTTGTTACCTAGGCTGGCAAACCAGTATTTCTACCAATTAGTCCAAATTAGTGAGGTTTCAGGATACAGTGACCTCTTAATTATCCATTTTTGCTAATCATGTACCAAATCAAATGATCATCCAGAACGTCACACTAATTAATGCATATTTCATATCCTACTTGGAAAATATTTATTACTCTGTCTTCTACGACTTTTCTGTAAATAGTCAAGAGTGACTTGGATGGGTATGAAAAGCAACATTTCAGTTACTGTGCTAGGTACTTACCAGGCTTAATAATATTTTACAATAACAACAATTATAATGAATACAATTTAAAAAGCTGCTAACATTTAGCAAGTAAATTTAATAAGTAAATTAAGAATTTTACATATATTACCTCTAACCCACATAACAACCCTGAAAGGTAAATACCAGTTCCATTTGAGAAAAGTTAGGCTTGGAGAAGTCAAGTAACTTGTTCAAAATCACAAAACCAACAAATGGGATAACAGGGATTTAATCCATCCATTATATTGCACTGCCTTCCATAAACATGCGTTTCTTCTAAGGAATGAACAAAGCATACAGTTTTTGAGGTTAAGTTATGTTGATGACTTCTTGACTATAGTTTACTGATAAACTAAGAAAATACTCATATTTAGCGTCCTGTCCTCAATAAACAGGTACAGCAGAAAATCAGACTATGTCAAATACAAAGCCTGAATATTCTATCATGTGTATTACTTAAGAGTCAGAGGTCAAATCTTGTGGCAATAAAATGCAGTTACTGTAAATACTACAAACAAGACTAGAAAATAAGAACACTCTCCAAATCCTAGCCGACAGCCTGCTTGTTTATAACAGTGTACTTATAAAACTACCTTCCGACGGTTTTTAAAATACCATGTATACTTGTATAAATGCCTACAATATTTTAAAGTTTGTTTGATGGGATAAGCATTCGTGCACCCAATTCTTCTGTAAGAATACCACAATTTGTCAAGTTCAGTATAAGATTAATAACAAAAAAATAAGCACTTCTCAAGACGGGTACAAAAGGCTTGGAAAGACACCCAAGACACTGTTGTCAGGGGCAGGTTCCGATACACCTCCCATGAGATAACTGAACCCTGCCACATCCACCCAATTAACTATACATGTGGTTTCAGTGTCATGCCAGGACACATGCCAACACCACCAGGCAAAACAATGCCACTCCTGTCCAAAGAAGGTAAAATACATTTTCATTTATCGTGGTAAGATGTGCTTCACAAACAACCCTGCTGGGAATATCTACTCCTTCATGCTCCACGCGCTCAGAGTCAGGATGCTAACCTTAAACATATATAGATATGTTTAGGGTTATAGATTTTACAATATAGATTTCAAAAATTAGAAGTTTCGTGACTTTGAACGGAGATGAACGACACGGTTAAGAAATCAGCAAATCTGGGGTCAGTATAATCCCATTTGCGCAGTAATTAGCTGTGAGATCCTGGGCAAGTTATTTAACCTCCCTGTGCTCCAGTTTCTTCAACTGTAAAACAGGAATAATCAGAGCACCTCATTGAGTTATAGAGAAGATTAAATAAGGTAACATCCTCGGAAGTGTTTCGAGCTGTGTGTCACATTAAAAAGTGATCAATAAGTATCAGGACGATGCCTAAAGTTGATGAGACGATGCTCGGGAACCAGCCTGGAATGGCCAGCCGGGGCCACTAAACATTCACGGAGCGTCCACTGCCTTCACATCAG